TGTTGGGGTTTCCATGCTGTTCTAATAAAGGCATATTATTATATTATTATTTTTACTATATTAACATAGAATAACACGAAAGAAAAAATACTTCCAAAACAACCACTTTCACACGAATATTGGATTTTAAAAAAACACATTTTTCTAGTTTTTCAGTTTATACTCCAAATATTCGATATGGAATTGAATCATATATGACTCACAGGATTGCTATAAAATGCAGTGTATGAAGTAGTTGAAATATCACTTACATGAAACACTGTCATCCTCAATAGAGGACATCCGATGTTTCTTCAGCAGCAGTTTGGATACAATTATTTCATAAAGTCAGGACTTTATGTTACTATCGAGTTTAATCTACTCATGTCATCGATGACACTACGTGATCATATTTATTTGCTTATTTGACTCAATTCAATCCATTTTTGGGAAAAATGTTTTGGCTTTCTACTTCTCCATCTCCATACAAAAAATTTGGGAATCTTCCGAAGAAACGAAGAAAGCAATTAATTTCTAAATAAACTCTTCACGAAGATGTTCAGATCATGCGAAAAAGTGACTTTCAGACACAAACTAGAAGATAACGTCGTCTTGAAACAACCAGTTTCATAGAAATATTGAATATGAACATCAAATTATGCAGAAAATACCCTTTTCTATTCAACTTGTACTCCAAATATACCAAAAAATTGGGAGAATTTAATTTCGAAATCTTCGATGGTATTCTCGAAGAGGATCACGGATATAGAAATCTCAAAATAAATATTGTTTCGGGTGAAACTGCCAAAAACCGAAAATACTTCATAGCTCCTCTCATGCCCGGAATTTGTCATTGAACATTTGTTTTCCACCCTGTAAAGGAGTCAAAACAGTCTAGACCCTTCAAAAACAACGTACAGAAACCAACCCAGAACTTTCCGTTTTGAAAATTATATATTTTACTAGTTGTTGCCCGCGACTTCGCCGGCGTAGAATTTGTTTGTCACATTGATGTTCGTGACAGAGCATTTTGAAAAATAACTACAATCTCCAAACCCCTATTTGTTTCCCCATGGGGGTGGAAATTACTGATTCTTTTTCTTGATGCTTATTCCTTAAACACATGCTAATATTTGAGGAGGTAATTCTCAGACCCATTTTAAGAAAAAAACTTCCTATGGACGTATGTCCTGAACGCCTTAACTTTTGAGATACAGGGTGGCAAAGTTTTCAAAAATAATCATTTTTTTAATAATAACTGAGATAATTTGGTAGACATATTTGGCATATTTGGTACATATGTTCCATGCCTCAAGGCGCATTTTCTGATGTACACAAATTTGTANTTCAAATGGTAAAAAACGAATTTTAGAAAAAATCATCATTTTCAAGGTAATCACTCAGTTTATTATTGGACCTCAAAAATTATCGATTCATTTTGACCGAGTAGAAAATGACAGGGAAATAATCATTATTGATTATTACTACCAACAATCACCAAGTGGCTAATATCAAAGTAAGGAGCAAATTTATCGTATTGCCAATATTTTTTTTTGTAATAATGTATGACGTAAAAGTATCCCAAATTTCGTGCCATGCTCAGATCTACTCATTAATTATGAAGTCATTCTGATACACGTTTTTTTTCCAATAAAAATTGTGAAGGAAATAGTTTTAAAACGAGATTTTAATGTGACAAAGCTTTTTATGGCTTTCTACTTCTGCATCATCACAAAAAAATTGAGGTAAACTTTTGAAGAAATAAAAAAAATATTTAGTTCAATCTGAACTGTTTACAAAGGTTTACAGATTATGCACACTAGTTTACACTATATAGTTACAAACTATCATCATGAGAAGATCATAAGTGTTTTTAGGTTACACAAAATCCTAGTTTCATTGGTGAAGTAAGTGTTTCCTCAATAAGTGTTGTTCAAGAAGCTACTAATGAGGAGTTGAAGACTGGGTTGCTCTCCCAAAACTAGAGTTGAACGTGGGATTGATAGTTTTCCATATCAACACTTTAATTATGGAATAATACTGGAGTTTTTTCCAACACCAAACCGTCATTTTAACATCTCGACACGTTATCAAACATTGATCTTTCGCTTGAAGATGATCACTTGGTGATCGAAACACGTATCGAAGTGTTAAAAACGGTTCGACGTTGGATTCAATTCCAGCCATAAGAATTTTTTTATACGAACACCAAATCATGTACATGATCTATACATCTCAGTAGAAGTTTTTATATTGAAGTTACCTAATATCCTAACTCTTTTGAAAGTTTCACACATATTTTGTAACAAGATGAAAGAGTAGAAATTCAAAAAGTTTATTACCTAATCTGAAAAATGTGAAAATTATAATGGAGAACTTTGACATCTGTCGAAGAAGTTGATAAATAAATAATCAGCAAAAGAATAATTGCAAATATCTTTGAAATTTTTGTCCATTTCTGAAGGCGGAGGCAGATTTTGGCCTCCGAAACGTTAAGATAAGTATTGTATTATTTATTAGCAAATTTTTTTGATAGACAAAATTGTTAAATAAATGATGTGTACCTATATAGATTTTGAACCCTGTTTTTCATTTTATCGAAACTTTTCGCTCATTTTTATACACATAATTCTTTTCTGAGTAGGAAAAACACTTCAAAAAGGAAAATGTGCATCAAGTAAATCCCCCCAAATACGAAAAAGTCGAAGATATGGCTGACCTGACGTACTTGAACGATGCCTCTGTTCTTCATAATCTGAAACAACGATACTATTCCAAATTGATTTATGTAAGTATTTCTGAACCACATTAACACTTTTTTTTTCTCGTTCAGGAGAAGAACTTCAAAAAGGACCAAGTTACCCAAGTGAATCCACCAAAGTATGAAAAATGTGAGGATATGTCCAACTTGACATACCTCAATGACGCATCAGTCTTACACAATTTGAAACAACGTTATTATGCAAAATTGATTTATGTAAGTCGTCGAAGAAAGTTGATCCCTCTTGAATTTCTCGAATCCACCCATCAATGCAATCATTAATGCATTTCTACTGAAACTATTGACATAGTTATACGATTTCAACAAATCTAGTATCTATGTCAATTATACCTTAATTGTCAATGCTGTCTTTATTCAACTGGATTCGAGTGATTCAACCATGGAGTGTGGTGATTTCTTGCCTTTGAAACGGATTACACCGACAAGGCAAAGTAAGGATTCGTCTACATCTTTTCCTTACCTACATTGGGAGAACCGGAAAAACTCCGCCCAAAATACTATTAGGTTTTTCATCGAGTTCACAGCATATNAATGTTATGAATCATTGTTAGTTTAATGTATAAGTTTGAAAATATCCTTATGGGACGAAACTGTAGTCACGTTAATTACGAATAAAAGTTGTAAAAACATATAAAGTTTCAATTCTCTTTTCTTCATTATGATTTCCTACTCATTATGATTTCCTACCACGTAGTAACGGCTACATCCACCAATTTATTGAAATATTTGTAAAACTGTTTTGTAGTGTTTGTAAAAGGCCTTCCGATTATTAATGAAGACTATAATGTTTTACAAACGTTTCCAATTTCTTTTAGGTCATAAAAATATTGAAAATGTTTCTAAAAGAAATTGAATTTTATAATTCGTTTCTCCGAAACTGTTTTGTAACTATTACAAAATATAAAATTGTTAGTTGGGTATTAACCACTTTTATACTTGAATTATGGACATGAACTTTTCATTGATGAGGATGAGCATGACTGAAATCGGAAATTCTGAAATCGAAAATTTTTGAATCAGCTTTGAGGAAAACTGGCGTTGAAGAAGTACAAACTATTTCAAACGAGTTGAAAAATCAAACACAACAGAAAATCACATTGCATTTTGAATTGAAATTCACAATGAATTCATTCAATTATAACTGAGGAATAATAAGGGAAATCTATAGCGAAACATACGTATAGAATTTGCACTACCTGAGGATGATCGTCAAATGAGCTGAACTAGGTAAATGTACCCGATTCCTCCCACTATTTCTCACTCAAAGCTGTCCTTTCTCTCTCTCTTCAAAGTTCAACAGTAAAGTGTGACTGTTGGTATATATTTCTGGCTAACGTGTAGCTGGTATGCCTGTACCTTGTGCCAAAAAAGGGAGACAGACCACATTATAACGGAGTAAGGGATTGGACAGACTCCGCACCAATCAGACAGCTCGTTACATTTCAGGATATTGTGTCAGACATTTATATTTAACGTATCGGAGCAAATTCTTTCAGATCGCCTCTCGAACGTAAGTGCCTGGTGCGGTGTTTAAGTGTGTATTTTTCAGCAAAATTGTTGTGTCCCAGTTTCAGGAATTGCTTTTCTTTCGTGGATTGATGTGAAAGTGTAAATGTGATAAAATGTCATTGTGTCATACTAGCAATTGTGCGATAAGTGCATTTCGATTTCTACGTAACAAAATTTGGATATACGAGTGATGTGATTTCATGTTAAACAAAATGTAACATGATGTTACATTTCGAAACGGAGATGTTCCAATCCAGCAAGTGCTAGTATGACAATGTGTCTAACTGAATTCCAGAAATTCAATTTTCACAGTCAATATACTTCGGTCTCACCTTTGATTTGAATCATATCAATTTGGGGTTTGACTTGAAGCCTGAATTTCAATCAAACATAAAACTTTAAAGACAAAAAACAAATAACTACCCATTATCAACCCTAATCTCTAGTTTGACTTTCAATTCAAGTACTATGATTATGCAATACTCATTGTGTGGACACAAATACTATCAACTTTGATAGAAAAGTTTCGTAGTGACAAACTCTGTCATGATTCTTGTAGATTTGACAGCCAGACCTGATTATCTGGCCTCATTTGAACTGATGATGTAACAAATCAATCACAACTAGTTATTCTACTAGTTGGTTCATAAGTGGTTCAACAGTTCTTCAATCAACAAGAAAAACGAACCGCAATATCATCATGTAATGGGTACTTACATCAGTTACGTACCTTCACACCAAACATTCCTCTATTTTTAGTTAGTAACCACACCTAGTGCTCCACATATTTCAATCTATTTATAGATCAGACTGAATATAGTCTGAATATCTATTTATGTGGAGGACTGGATTTTCCTACTATATCGGGTAATAAAAAGTATTTTCGATTCAATCACAATGAGCCGCTAGGCCTAGTGATTTCCTTAAACAATACCTGGGGTATTAAGAGGGTCTTCATTCAAAATATTTGGTTTTTCAATAGTTGCCATGTGTATGCATGAAATCAAACTTGCATGTTGAACTTTCCATAATTTTTTTCAATTTCAACTTCCCTTATTAAATTCATGTAATTTTGCAGGAAGGCTCTAGGGCTATTAGAAGTATCTGTATAACTTTACTCAAGTCCGTACAAGATGCCTAAACCAGCACAACAAGAAGGGGATGATCCCGACCCAACCCCATACTTGTTCGTTTCTTTGGAACAAAAACGAATTGATCAAACGAAGCCCTATGATGCCAAAAAATCTTGTTGGGTGCCAGACGACAAAGAAGGTTTCTTACTTGGAGAGATCAAGGGTACAAAGGGTGATCTCGTTACCGTTGGTCTTCCCGGAGGAGAGGTAAAATTAACAATATTACCGGAAATTGTGATTCTTCAAAATATTCAATTCATCTCCTGACCCCTCTCTTTCCCAATTTATTTTTGATTCTTTCAAAAATCAGTTATATTCACAACTGAGGAAGTTCAATACTTTACAATTATTTTGGATAGAATTTGTGAAGAACACATTTGACGCAGAAGCAAAATTAATTGAAATTGGAACGAACATCATTCGTATTTCTTTCCTTAACATCAAAACTTTGCTATTAATACATTTCATATCACTTCTTAGCAAGTCAACATTTATTAGCAATTAGTTATTTACCGAATATTAGTTCTTTAAAAATTCACCATAATCAATAGTCACATAAAAATAACTGATTAATATAAGACAAAGATGAGGTAGAGACATTATTTCACTCAATATGATGCTCTGCTGAAAGAATAATATATTTTGTGATGATATGAATAGTTTGAAGGTCTCAAAAAATTATTTGATAGCACTCATATCAGTGACAATTTTTGGATTGGTCAATATCACTTCCCATCATTCATAAGCAATTCGTTATTTACCGAATGTTCAAATTCCTGTCTCTGAATGTTCTAAAATATAATGAAAAGTATTCTTCTCGAGGCAAGCACATTCACCTATAATTGCTTACAAACAAATTTTTTCAATAATTTTTTGATTTTCGTTTTCAAAAATATAAGTCTCTACTCTGCTCTACTATATTCAATAGTCACATGAAAGGAACTGATTAATGTTAGACAACGATAACGTAGAGACATTATTTAACTCAATATGATGCTCTGCTGATAAAATAATATGTTTTGTAATGATTTGAATAGTTTGAAGGAATCAAAAATTCATTTGACGGCACTCAAAATACGTTATACTTTTTCCCCCATTTTCTTTATCTCATCAGACTCTTTCGAATATGGGTAAAGTTGAAATATACTCGTCTTCTGTTTAGATTTACAACAATTTCTTATGAAACGATTCAGTTCAGTTCAATTCCTTCATTTCGTTCAAATGGTAAAAATCGAATTTTAGAAAAAATCATCATTTTCAAGGTAATCACTCAGTTTATTATTTGACCTCAAAAATTATCGATTCATTTTGACCGAGTAGAAAATGACAGGGAAATAATCATTATTGATTATTACTACCAACAAAGAATCACTTGAAAAATTCCAAAGAGTCTTTGGTTAATTTCTGAGTGTTATAATGGAAGGACTAAGTCTATTGTTTCTTTATTTTGCATAAAACTAACAATATTTACAAAAATGGCGCAACTTTGTTCTGGACGGAAATATGAATGAGGAATCTATTGTATATTAATCCTAGTAAATTTGATATTGAATATGAAGTAAGAGTCTTGAAATCAAACCCCTGTCTAGTTATTTTTCGAAAGTCTAACTTCCTGTTTTGTTATCCAAGTCATTTTTATCATTTGATCAAGAGTAAAGGTAAAAAGAAGCCAAACAGTCAGTCTAAATACTGGTCGCTAATCCAAATAATATTTGAATATCGATACACTTGATTACCCCGACTCATTGGCAATTCTGAAGAGCACAAATCAAATTTCCTATATATAGATTTTGAACCCTGTTTTTCATTTTATCGAAACTTTTCGCTCATTTTTATACACATAATTCTTTTCTGAGTAGGAAAAACACTTCAAAAAGGAAAATGTGCATCAAGTAAATCCCCCCAAATACGAAAAAGTCGAAGATATGGCAGACCTGACGTACTTGAACGATGCCTCTGTTCTTCATAATCTGAAACAACGATACTATTCCAAATTGATTTATGTAAGTATTTCTGAACCACATTAACACTTTTTTTTTCTCGTTCAGGAGAAGAACTTCAAAAAGGACCAAGTTACCCAAGTGAATCCACCAAAGTATGAAAAATGTGAGGATATGTCCAACTTGACATACCTCAATGACGCATCAGTCTTACACAATTTGAAACAACGTTATTATGCAAAATTGATTTATGTAAGTCGTCGAAGAAAGTTGATCCCTCTTGAATTTCTCGAATCCACCCATCAATGCAATCATTAATGCATTTCTACTGAAACTATTGACATAGTTATACGATTTCAACAAATCTAATATCTATGTCAGTTATACCTTAATTGTCAATGCTGTCTTTATTCAACTGGATTCGAGTGATTCAACCATGGAGTGTGGTGATTTCTTGCCTTTGAAACGGATTACACCGACAAGGCAAAGTAAGGATTCGTCTACATCTTTTCCTTACCTACATTGGGAGAACCGGAAAAACTCCGCCCAAAATACTATTAGGTTTTTCATCGAGTTCACAGCATATAAACTGGTGTAACTCACTTGACGATTTCATACTTTCACCATTGGGAGAACCGGAAAAACTCCGCCCAATGTGATTCATTCTTCTATCACACATAATGAAGTATGTTTTTCTTTTCCAGAGTTTGATTTTTTCATTGATTGAATTTATGACATCAAATATTCTCTCAAATAGAAAGTGTGAGTAATTTTGATATTTCAGATAATGCTGTCCGCAAATATCAAATTATTTTTTGTTGAGTACACGGACAACAGAAAAATAACTATTCATGTACACAGTAGCAGAAGATTTATTCTTCTAACGTGTTTCATACATGACTCTAATTTTGCTGGAAAATTAATTTTTATTATTACCGAAATGATAGAGTTATTGACTACACAAAGTTTTCATGCTATAACTAATGTCCATTACACTGCTGTCACTTTCTTCTTCTTCAATAAAAATGCTGCAGAAAACGCCTTATATTCTGTTATAATTTAGTGATTGATTATAAAAAGTAAGCACTTTTCACAGTAATTTTGAAAATTGTCTGTTTATATGTAATAATCATAAAAAAATACACATTTGAAGTTAATTTGCAGTTGATAGAATAGAAAACTAGACGACTCCGTAGTTTGAAGAAAATATTCAGATATAAAAATATGGCCAATGGATTTGGAAAACGGATATCAAAATCGCTATTCCACTTTTGTGTTTGAGAGAACATTTTGGAGATCAGAACACCAAAGAAATTGTTTTTTCTTCAAATCCCCCAATAACATGTGGTTGAATTATGTTTTCAGACTTACTCTGGTCTTTTCTGTGTCGCTATCAATCCTTACAAACGGTTCCCTGTATACACTAACCGTTGTGCTAAACTATACCGTGGCAAGAGGCGTAATGAGGTGCCACCACATATTTTTGCTATTTCTGATGGAGCCTACGTCAACATGTTGACCAGTAAGTTCTATCAAAAAAGGATTTACAACACAAATATTTATACTGTTTTCGTTTACAGACCACGAAAATCAATCCATGTTGATTACGTAAGTACCGTAGCAATAGAATTTTGCAAAAGTATATCTTACATGTTTTGATATCATTTAGATAGCTAGAATTCCAAAGTAGTAGGCATTAGGAACTAACGCTAAGTCTTTTCTCGATCAGCGAGGAGATTGTAAAGTAGGTTTAGTTTCCGGCGGAAACCCCTGAATAAGAAATACATAGTTGCCGGCCGAAATCTCAGAACAGAATGAATGAATCGGCTAAGAAATGTGTTGGACATACCTTTCGAATAATCATCACTGAAAATATGGCCGGGGTCATAAATATAGTCGAGAAAGGTCAACCACTTGTGCCAGAATCCTTTGTCTAAATCCATAAAAGTGTTAACAATGAGTATCTACTCGAAACATCCCAAGTGGTAGCTGTGGATCTAAATATCCATATGGTTTTTTCGGCAACAAACTTTCTTTTCGAAAGAAGAGGGCATTTCAATGATATGCGATGAAAAAAATACAAAAATGCTAAGTAAACATTGAAATGAAAGAATTAACATAGAAAACCCAAGCAGATGGATATTTTGGACGACTGCTCCGTGTTAGAGTTATGAAAAGTTAGTTTCCCAACAAGAATTTATAATACAAAAATGAAAATCAATAACGAAATAAAATTTTTCTAAAGTAAGTACTTGTAGGAAAAACCTACAGAATTATAACTGTGACACAAATGTTTTCGTTTTAATGCAATTATATTTCTGAGAATGTAGTACCTACTATTATGGCATTGTACTATAGTAAAATAGAATCAAAGTCGTATCGAAAATACTTCTTGTGAACTGATGAAAACATACTACATCATGGTATGTTTTCTTGTATTGTGCTTATATTGTGTTTATTCTCCCAATTTAAATGAATCCTTATGACTATAGATAACAAAACAAAAAGTTTTCATATTATATGTTGTATGATATATTGGAGAGAGAAGGTAAATGCAATAGACCACATTTTGGTAGAGTCTCTCAACAATGAACATCATATTCGTTGATAATATATAGGGTCTTCCATTAGGCGCTTTCTTTCTTTGAATTTAAATAATGCAAAGTGCATCGATGATATTTTGAAGTTTGAGGTTATGTTAGCCTCGAGGATCACTGTGGTTTGTAGCGTATTTACATACAGCTACGACTTGAGAAAACTCCAGAAGAAAAACTCTAATGGGTTTAAATCGCAAGATCTAGGTGGCGAGTTCACATCACCTCCACGGGAGATGACCATGCTCTCTGGAAAGTACCCCTGGTAGTAGGAGAATGGATACTCAAGATTCTCTCTAGTAGAACAATAAGTATCAATGTAGAAGACATCACAGTGGACTGGCCATAAGGGGATGTCCACAGGGAGGAGTTTTATCACCCCTTCTCTGGAACATAGTTCTGGATACCCTGAATAATCCCCTCAACAATAACGGATCCTACACAATTGCATATGCAGATGACATAGTTATCTTGCAGACCGGCAAATTCGTGAACACACTGTACGATAGAGCGCATGATGGGCTCAAATTAATTGAAACATGGTGTGAGGAACACTCACTGTGGATCAATCCCAAGAAGACTGAGATGATCCTTTTCACCAGGAAAAGAAGTTTATCGGGCTAAAAACCTCCTGGAATCTTCAAAAGCAAACTGAACTTTTCTGAAGAGGTGTAATACCTTGGTATCATCCTCGACAGGACGCTAACATGGAACTCTCACCTACAAAGAAGAGAAAAAAAAGCATATGTGGCTTACGAGCAATTTCGGAGGACAGCGGAACGCGCATGGGGTCTTTCACCCCGTGTGGTCCCATGGATCTATGCTGCAATAATAAGACCTACGTTAACGTATGGAGCCATTGCTTGGGGACCGAAAGTTCTACAAGCAATAGCCGTCCAAAAATTATATCAAATACAGCGACTGGCTTGTTTAAACATCACAGGAGCCATTATAGCAACACCAACCGCGGCAATGGAATTAATTACGGGTCTGACCCCTCTGGACCTGTACGGTGAGGAGGTTGAGTTATTGACCACGTTACGGTTTCGCACGCCTGGTGTAAACCTCGAAGTAGGAATGGGTCAATTGAGGCTGAGCCTAAGGCGAGAAACGTTTACTGCGCAACCTCTGCTGCAGGCAACCAGTGATGCAATTGAACCCAGGTTTGTGTTTAATAAACCCTACAAAATACAAATAAAACAGAACACAGTCAGATGCTACAAATGCAATACGCAAGGCTCAAAAACCAAGGAAGGCTCAGGGTATGGAGTGTACTCCAGATCACTTAGCCTTAAGGATTAAGTGGGGAATGGAAAACTACCAGCGTGGTTCAAACAGAACTGGCTGGTATCTCAAATAACCAGGAAAGAAATTTCTGGCAAAAACATAACAATCTGCACTGACAGCAGACAAGCCCTATTAGCCTTGAACAGACAACATGTTACCTTAGGGCTAGTACTAGAGAGCCACCAAGATTTAGCTGAAGCCTCGGTAGATAACATTATCCTGAGGTGGGTTAAAGGGCACGACAGGAGTGAAGTTGATCGCATTGCACCTGGGACGCTGGCGCCAAAGAAATATCTGGCGATGACCAGGAAAAATCTATGCTTAACAGTAGGATTTCTGACTGGCCACTGTCATTCGAGGAAACACCACCATAATATGGGGCTAGTGGACACACCTATATGCAGGATGTGTGAACAGGAAGTTGAGACTGTCAGGCATGTCCTATGCGAGGTCCCGGAGTTACTGTCAATGAGAGAGTGTATGTTCAGCGAGTCTTGGCCTACACCTGCCGATATAAAGGAGATATCTCCAAATGACCTGTCCAACTTCCTGGAACGGACAGGATGGACGATGATCTAGGAGGACAACTCCTCGGGAGGATGGACAATGGGTCCCATGTGGCCTAAATGCTGTGGGCTTACACTCACCCTTCCTACTCTATGGATACAGAGCTGCGTGGCACGTAGCACAGTCTCGTTGAAACCAAATGTTGTTGGTGCTAAGATCATCCAATTCAGACCAAAAGAAGCACTATGTCGGACACTCTATAGTGCTCGCCGTTCACAGTGATGACCTGGCCAACGTCGTTCCCAAAGAAATATAGGCCGATGACGCCGTCAGCCCAAAATCAACACCAAACAGTGACTTTTTCCAAATGCATTGGACACTCTTGGATCTCAGGTGGATTGTTATCGTCCCAAATTCAACAATTTCATTTGTTCACGAACCCATTCATCCAGAAATGGGTCTTATCGCTGAATATGATTTTATGATAAAAATTAGGGTCAGTTGCCAACTGCTCCAGAGCTCATTCAGCGAGCACACGTTATATAGTCGTTTACTTGGATTAGTTGAATTTTGTAGGGTTCAGGCTCAAGTCACGACGCAAAATTCGTCAAGTTGTGGTCTGCGGAAGGCCGAGTTCTTGTGAGCGACGCGAAATCGACTGCTTTGGATTCACCCGCACACTCTCACAGACAGTGGCGATGTTTTCGGCAGATCTTGCGTTTCGTCGACGTACAGGTGTTGGTCGATCGTCGACTCAAAATTTATCGACCACATTGCTAATAGTCCTCTCGGTAGGACGATTATTTTTGCACGTGACAGCTAATTTGACAGATGTATCTTCAACAAGATGACCGTTATCACTTGTCAAAGTTCGGAAGCCCCTGTTGAAAGACCCTACATTACCGTGACACATATTTATTCTTCATTTCATTGACAGTGGAGAGTCTGGTGCTGGTAAGACTGAAAACACGAAAAAAGTAATTGCTTACTTCGCAACTGTTGGTGCCTCAACTAAGAAGGCTACTGATGATTCCGTCAAGAAAGGTAACTTGGAAGATCAGGTTGTACAAACCAACCCTGTTCTTGAAGCTTTCGGTAACGCTAAAACCGTCCGTAACGACAACTCTTCCCGATTCGTAAGTTGCATTTCCATCTGTCCAAATCCATGAGATTAAAATTACTTATAAATTGTTTAGGGTAAATTCATCCGTATCCACTTCGGTCCAACTGGAAAACTGGCCGGTGCTGACATTGAAACTTGTAAGTTTCTACCAACGTGTTGAGGGAATCATAATAAAAAAGTTTTTGTTGTTCCATAGATCTTCTGGAGAAGGCTAGAGTTATTTCCCAGCAATCACTCGAGAGGTCGTACCATATTTTCTACCAAATCATGTCTGGAGCTGTTGCTGGAGTGAAAGGTGAGATTTTTCTTTTTTTTTTGTCACAGTCACTCTTTTGTATCCACAATGTGAGCGTACAGACACTGTTGGAAACATATTTTAATCATTTTTTAGCTTTTCAACAGGTATCAGAATGAAATAAATTTCATTAGTCTTTATAAAATACAGCAATCACAGTTGTATTGAATTTAATCATTAGAATGTTCAAACAATATGTCATTTTTTATTTTGCATGAATTTTTATTGAATTTATGTGAACCATTGACAATTTTTGGATGCAACCAAGTTAAGAAATCAATTGCATATAAGTTTTTGATGATATTTCACATTTCTACTATGATGATAAATATAAATATAATATGTGAAGATGTTTATTGCAAACAGAATCTTGAATTACACTTTTGAAATTTTCAAAATTAACTACACAATCTGAAATAACGAACTGACTGATATACTTTTTCCTCAATCCAGAAAAGTGTTTGTTGTCTAATGATATCTACGATTATAACTACGTATCCCAGGGAAAAGTAACAATTCCTAATGTAGATGATGGTGAAGAGTGTGCTTTAACTGATGTAAGTGGGTATATTCAAAAGAACACTCACTAGAACTAAAGTGTTCGTTGTTTTGTTATCATTGTGTCGTTCAAGAAGTACCATAGATCCCAGTACAATCTGATGAAACACTCACAAGAAGTACAGTGTTCACTGTTCCCTGTTTGATGTATTTCCGTTCAATTCATCATATTTGTCATGTCAACATTCTGTTCGTCATGAAACAGTAGATTAATAGGCACCTAACCCCTTTTCTTTTGGCCTCCTCTAGATAAATGTTTGTTATCCAATAACATCAACGACTACTACTTCGTATCACAAGGAAAAACCACAATTCCTGGTGTAGATGATAGCGAAGAAATGAAAGTCACAGATGTAAGTGCCTCTTGACAGGTCACTGAACAATTTTCATGTATCACTTGTTTTATGTTTTACCATTCTGCGCTAATATATTGGAGAGCAGCCAAGTCAAGATGATCTTTTGGGTTGTTCAAAATTTTTCCGTTTTTATGAGTCCACTTCAGTTCAATCAAAATAAGCGCCACTTGAATCAGCGTAAAATAGGTCGATTATTTCCGTAAATACGTTTCAAAACATCAAAAACCACATAGGAGCTAATGCTCAGTTCTTCCCCCATCCCACACATCATTTATGGGTCCTGAAAACCTCGTCCTGGATTACTGTAGGTCGACCACTTCGTGACTCAGCTTCGACTAAAATCTCCGGCAGGAAATATCGCAAACCAACATCATTGCCAAATGCCTGGATGATTTTTTGGGCTGCTTCAGGCTGTTTAGGTTGATTTTTTGGGCTGTTTCGTAGAGAATGAGCTGAGAGAGACAAAAAATTTAATTTTGGACAAAATGAAGAGCATCAATGTAATCAATGTACAAAATTCTCTAACAACACAGCACAATAAATATTTATTGAGACATGGAGCTACAAAAACACACGTCATCAAAACGGACTAAATTTTTTGAACAACCTAATACTATTTGAGTTATGTAAAGTTTTGTACGAGCAATATCGGTGTACTCCATTATGAAATCAACAGTTATATACAAATCATCTCAAAAACTATGATTTTCTTGACCTAGCTTGCTTCCTAACCTTTCAAAACATGCTGTGATCAATTAATCGATAAAAAAATCCGTTGTTATTTGTAGTAATGTTTTTGATATGAAACCGCTTCGTTTTTTCAGTAATGCTAAGTTTTGATTATACGCTTTCTTAAATTGCAAAAAAGGTTGATATCTAGATGAAGTTTGCATTTACATTCGTCCTGAATGTTGAGCTTTCACAGAATAAGGCAAATTGCAACTTAATTCCTTTATTGAACAGAGAAGTGCTTGCTTTCCAATGACATCTATGACTATAACTTCGTGTCACAAGGGAAAACAGTAATTCCGGGTGTTGACGACGCTGAAGAATTCTCATTAACTGATGTAAGTAGTTGTTGTTTCCAAATATCACAAATTTTGCCTGGGGAAATCAATGTACAAACATGTAAATGTGATCGTCTTTTTCATCAACGTTTGTTTGTTCAATTCCATGACAATGTCCTAACGTGAAAGTTTGTTTTCAATTTCATCTGAATCAACCTCGGAAAAATAACCGTGCTTTTGTGAAGTTCTGTTGCTAATGTATGAGTGTACAAGCTTCTCTCATGGTTTACAAATACCCAAATAAATTAATCACTATTTTTCGTGTAGGAAGCCTTCGACATTCTTGGTTTCACCCAGGAAGAGAAAGATAATGTGTACAAGATAACCGCAGCAGTCATGCACATGGGTTGCATGAAATTCAAGCAGAGAGGCCGAGAAGAACAAGCTGAACCTGATGGTACAGAGGTAATGAAGTGACAGTAGCACATCCATGAGTGCACACGACATTGATTTTTTGCTTGCAGGAAGGTGAGCGAGTCGGAAAATTGCTAGGAGTTGACACAGCGGCACTTTATCAAGCATTTGTTAAGCCCAGAATCAAGGTCGGTAATGAATTCGTCACCCAAGGAAGAAACGTCAACCAAGTTTCCTACTCGGTTGGAGCCATGTCCAAGGCTATGTTTGACAGAGTCTTCAAATTTTTGGTGAAAAAATGTAACGAAACTTTAGATACAAAACAAAAAAGACAGCACTTCATTGGTGTACTGGATATTGCTGGTTTTGAAATCTTTGACGTAAGTTGAAACTTGGGATTTCTGATTGATCCGTATTTTTTTCTCAATCCTGTTCAAGGTGGAACAAATGAACTACATAATTTTGATAATTGAATCGAAATCGGTTTCAGTTTTTTTATATATTTTATATATGAACTTGATTCGAATTCAGTTATTTTTACCAATATACCCTGCAGGATAAAGGAAAGTGGAGAAAGTAACTGAATGTTGATGATCAAGAAATATATTTCAAAAAATGTTGTTCGTTTGAGTGGATTTATCAACATGAATAGTTGGCATCCTCAGGAGTATGAGATGGTTTTCTTCCTGAAAAAATGGAAATAGCAAAAGTGTCACCAAAAGAAGAGTTGCTTGAACAATTAGAAGCCAGTTTCTATTTTACCGGTATTCTTAGAATATCAGAGGATGAGTTTTAAGTTTATCAAATTTCTGTAGAAAAAATTGTTGTTATTCTGTGGTCAGTATGGATTTCGGGCAGCTAGCAATACAGAACTGGCTGCTTGGAAAATAATTACAGGTATTCGACAGAAAACAGCTGATTACAAAATAAATTAAAAACAGACGATAATTTGTGGAAATTGATGGTAGTAAAAGCTCTACACAATGTATTACTACTGGTGTGCCCTCATGGAATATATTAGGCCCAATGCAAAGTTTAAAACTTTATGGACAGATCAAAATTCATGCTGATACAATTTATAGTGACAACATTTATGTCATACATGAATATGTTCAAAATGATTCAAGTATAATATTAATGTGGCTTCGGTCACATAAATTAAGTTTGAATTTTGATACATGAACTCATAAGGTAATTTCCAAAGAGAAAATAGATAACATTCACAAAAATACTTGATTACTTGGTCTCTATATCGACGAAACTCTAAATTGGAAGGTACACATGCCAAAATTATTCCTCTTTTAGGTATGTTGTACAACTTATTCCACTGATGTGTTCGAAAAATATTTATTTTTCACTCATTCACTCTAGATTCAATCACGTGATCCTCATTTGGAGCTCCGCCTCCCGAAATAGTTTGAAACCTTCGGAAAGATTGAAAAACAAGATCATAAAATGTATTTATAGATTATCTCATCTGGAACCGACTATGAATTTACATAAACGAAGGAATCTTTTACATCATAAAATGATGGAAATATGTATATTCATTCTGGCCACAAAACTTTCAACTTGAAATTATAAAAAATTAAAGGTGTCCTCAGATCATTTTTGAACCAAGGTATTGCTATTTATGATTGCTTACCAGAAAGAATAACCGTCATAAAATCCATAAAGAAATAAACTTTCATTGTTGAATGTTTAAATTATTTTTTGGCCATCTGAAATGTGTTTTGTTGAGTATTATTTCATATATATCACCTGGGGATGAATTAAGAAATAGTTCAAGTTATTTCTTGGTACTCCTGGTGATACCAACCATCGATGTTGAAAATCCCTGAGCTAACGAATCAACAATCCTGAAAACATTCACAAGGAATCATTTTGTACATAAAACACTCCAGACGAAAGAAGGTATACTTTTACACTTTACATAAACTGCTAAAAAGAAAACACTGAGAATCGATGGCAAATGTAGCCATGGTTGCAATAAAAATGGCGCTCACTCATTTTGTCGATTCGACAAAGAATACACCTAACGAATCACATATCAGTCGTCACTACCAACACACATCGACACTCAATTATGAAGTAGTTCTTGTTCGAGAAAATTCCTGCAAATTTTCGTACATGAAGTTCATTAAGTTCCAGGCACAAACATGAGAAACATTTCACTGGATATTTTTTTCTCAATTATGAAAACCATGACAGGTCTTCATTAACGATTCAAGTACAATTGGAATGACAAATAGAAGAAGAAAAATCTGCTTTCAGTCTAGAGGATTTGATATTGAATGATGAATATTCAGATTTCACTCATTTTGTGTTGTAATTGTTACAATCACTTTCATACTCATTATCATAGGAATCAAGAAAAGCTTCCTGCTTCTTAGCTTCTACTTTATTTTTTGCAAAATTACCAAATTGGATTCTATTAATTTTTCACGCTGCTTCAGTATAACGGCTTCGAGCAACTCTGCATTAACTTTACTAACGAAAAGCTACAACAATTCTTCAACCACCATATGTTCGTATTGGAGCAAGAGGAATACACCAGAGAGGGCATCGTGTGGCAGTTCATTGATTTCGGAATGGACTTGGCAGCATGTATCGAACTTATTGAAAAGGTTGGCTTTTGGTTCCTGCTTAACTGCCAGGTTGCTTGCCTACTAACAATACAGATTTCACTATGATGATGATGTTTGCGAGTTTCAATCACTGACCTAACTCTAATCAGTTGTATTTGTCCTCCCTCTTTAGTACAACGGTTTTGAACAACTGTGCATTAACTTTACCAATGAGAAATTGCAACAATTTTTCAACCACCACATGTTTGTCCTCGAACAAGAGGAATACAAAACTGAAGGGATCCAATGGACCTTCATTGATTTCGGGATGGACTTGGCTGCTTGCATAGAGTTGATAGAGAAGGTAATTCATGAGACGGAAAATGTGATACATCAGCTGTAAAAGGTGTGATGTCAGTGTATGTGTTATTATATCTTCCAATCGCAGTTTGGCGGACGAGACGGAGAAGATGATTGTATATTCCCTAATTCGTAGTCAATGTTATGTATTTGTACTGTACATTTGTCCTTGTGTATGTAGCTTAATTGATTCCACCTATGGTACAGGATGTGAATCATATCCCTGTAGTTATTGTGAATGTTATTTTTGTTAGTTCAACGGCTTCGAACAGCTTTGTATCAACTTTACCAATGAAAAATTACAACAATTTTTCAACCACCACATGTTCGTACTAGAACAAGAAGAATACCAAAGAGAAGGTATTGAATGGGCTTTCATAGATTTCGGTATGGACTTAGCCGCTTGTATCGAACTCATTGAAAAGGTACACCACATTTGCAACTCTCCAGTGTACTTATTTGTGCGCTATATGTATAAGATGCTTCCCTACTAATCTATACCTCTACAGAACAGCCGATTTGTTACTGTTATTTCGCTAACTGTCTTGCTTACAGTATAACGACTTCAATCAACTGTGCATAAACTATTCCAACGAAAAACTGCAGCAATTTTACAACCATCACATGTTCATATTGGAACAAGAAGAATATGAAAGGGAAGGTATCAATTGGGTCTTCATCGATTTTGGTATGGATTTGCAACCATGTATCGATCTGATTGAGAAGGTACACTGCCCTTCATGAAGTAGGTCACCACCCGATATACCTCTATAGTCACCTTGTAGTCTATGCACAGAATTTTTAAATCAGCTTCTATGCACTCCCACCTTGGCCCTTGATTCAGTAGGTATGAGAGAGGTAGTTTGCCAGTGTTTTGATGATTAACAAACAATATTTGTCATCTGAGTTATTATTGTATCATTTTGGGAGTTATGAAATGGTTTTTGAAGCTCTTTCCACTTTGGAATTTGATAACGTTATGAGGTCGTCGATGAGCCCCTTTTCCATTTCATAACTCCTAATGATAATCTACCAACTGTTCTGTATTTTTCAATAATTTCGTCATTTTAAGCCTATGGGTATTTTATCCATTCTTGAAGAAGAATCTATGTTCCCAAAAGCTACTGACAAGACTTTTGAAGAAAAACTGAACACCAACCACTTGGGCAAGTCACCAAACTTCCAGAAACCAAAACCACCAAAACCAGGTCAACAAGCTGCTCATTTCACCCTCGGTCACTACGCCGGAAATGTGAGAAACAGTGATTTTATCAAACAAACAGTTTTTCATCATAATATATAATATTTAGGTACCTTACAACATCACAGGGTGGTTGGAGAAAAACAAGGATCCCCTCAATGACACCGTTGTCGACCTCTTCAAGAAGGGTAGCAACAAGTTATTGGTAGAAATCTTTGCAGATCATCCTGGACAGTCCGGAGGTGCTGCTGAGAAAGGTAATATGAGTGATTACCAACATCCAAGCCCAAAGGAGCTCGAATTGATATATGTTTACTTAATTGAGACATTGTTTTATTTTGTTTTGATATTTTTCATAAAAAAATTGTCGCTGATGGTTGAAAAAAGCCTGATACATTTTCTGGAAGATTTTCACAACCAATTCAGAAATCTGTTACCTCAGGCAGGATAGTTTCAACGTAAAATCTTTGAGGTCTGTTGAAAAATAAGGTGAATTTTCATTTTTCACAAAAAATATTCATTTATACATCAGCTTCTTTTTTCTTCCCTTTAAAGTAGTCACCCCTTGGATATGATATATACTTGTGACAGCCCAGCGTTTTATCCATGCTTCGAAGATATGCAATTTTCAGTATGTACTTGAGCTTTCTCAGCCATTCGGGCTCAAGCTCCTCAATGGTCGCAAAACGCCGTTCTTTTATCGGTGTTTTGATCTTGGGAACAGAAAAAAATCAGACGGGGCCAAATCTGGTGAATACGGTGGCTGAGGCATGATTACGGTTTTCCATTGGGACGGTTGGGCTTTGGCTTCGTCACCAGTTAGGTATAACCATTTTGAGTCAATCTGCATCGCCGCTATATCTGGTTTCAACAATTCCTGAACGATGCTCATGCGAGTCAAAATTCCGCTGCTACACGCTTCAGGCCCAAAATTTCCGAAAAATTGCATCACAAAACATGCAAAACACTAGCTTGCATGCCTCTCACCAACAAACGGAACATGCTGAACAGCTAGAACTGGGAACATATGTTAGAGACGAGTAGCCCGCGAAATATGAACTTTCACCCTATCAACAGATCTTGTATCTAGTAATTTCATTATAGAACTTTATCACAAATATCGACTCATTCTATGAAACAGAAACGAACCAGATATAATCGAACAAAATAATTTCTCATAATTCATAAGCGTATAATTGTTTTTTATGTATTTAGGTGGTAAGAGAACCAAGGGTTCTGCTTTCCAGACTGTATCCAGTTTATACAGGGTAAACAAGTTTCTTGACTGCTTTTAGACGCAGCGCTGAAATTTTCATCCAAATTCCAATTTTCCTTTGATTCCGTCAAACTGACTTCCTTCAGCAATGTTTTGTCTCTTCTTAAAAGTCATCAATTCATATTGCATTTCCTCAGTGGAAAGAAAAAAAGAGTCTTTATTTAATTATGGATGATGAGCAATATTGTTGGTGACTATTAAATGCTTATTTCTGTTTGCTTTTGAATAGGTCGTGGTAAGAAGGGTGGTGGTTTTGCTACGGTATCATCCGCCTACAAGGTATGTCTAGAAAATTGTTTTTCAAATATATTAGTGACGAGATTCCTGAAAACAACTACTGGAGGAATCACGATTGGCTATTGTTGAAATTTTTATCTAGATTGTTGAAAAGTTCTTCAAAAAATACGTCATACCATACAAGGATACGAAGTATGGGTTTCTTTTTTGTTTGTTTTATCAGTATTTGACAACATGTAGGCTCAAAATACTCACGGCCTTCATTGAATTGGAATTATCAAGTTTTTCATTAAACGAAACATCATTGAATAAAATATTAACCGGTCCTTTTTGTGAACTATTCATTAATGTTCGTGAAAAGGTATTAACTCATTAATTTGGCGTGCTTTTCCTGCCTTTTGCAAATTAATTTGTTAACCAATAACAGTATCATCTGTGCTTACTTCAGTGATTTCACCTCCATTTTTTGTAGGAACAACTGAACAATTTGATGACAACACTCAGATCTACCCAACCTCACTTCGTTCGTTGTATTATCCCCAATGAACTCAAACAACCCGGAGTCATTGACTCGCACTTGGTGATGCACCAGTTGACATGTAACGGTGTACTTGAAGGAATCCGTATCTGCCGAAAAGGTTTCCCTAACAGGATGGTGTACCCTGACTTCAAGCTCCGGTAAGACTGACTTCATTTTTTAAAGCTATTCCACGAGACTGAATCAGAAAAAAATCTATGACATTCAACTGAATTCTGACTTTGAACTTCTTCTCTTCCAAATAACACTCAATGTGGATATCTATTTTCTATAGGGGAGGTGTCTTTTATTTTCTTTATTTTCATTACTTAGCTATATGATATTAGCCCCGGCAACCATGGCCAAGGAAAAAGAAGCTAAAGAAGCAGCCCGGAAGTGTCTCGAAGAAATAGGCTTAGATGCAGACAGCTATCGTGTCGGACATACCAAGGCAAGAGTTCAACTGAATCGTGCCCTTGTGAACTGTCTGAATCCTATACTTGATTTGTATGCATGTTGAACCCTTTAGGTATCACCAGTAGAGGAGGTTTATCTTCCGCCAGCTACGTGAAACGTGTACCATATGATTGAATTGTCTGGAAATTCGACCATGAATATCTTTTTCACTGAATGTAACACGGGGGCTGAAAAATCCCGGGACTAAGAAAGAAAACGTGTTTTTTCCTGTTCAAAATTGGCATTAGTCATCAACGTAACCTTCAACAAGAGCTAAACAATAATTCCAGCGCCGCTCAAACATTTAATATTTCAATACCACTTTTGTAGAACTATTTAGCTTTTGCATGAAAAAAAGCCTTAATTTCAGCAACAACCTCTTCAATCGGGCAAAATTTTTCACCAATCGGCATTTTTTGAGGCCTGCGTACAGCCAGTAGTCTCTGGGAGCCAAATCTGTCGAATACGGTGGATTTGGGAGTAGTTCAAGTAGTTTTGCCATTGTTCTGATTGATTTTTGACACGATGCGTTGTTGTCTTGATGAAACAAACATTTTTCTTTGCCATATGCGGTCGTTTCTTTGCAATTTCGGCCTTCAAACATTCCAATAACTTTACTTTATGGGATACTTACGGAATTTCGCGATTTTTTCTGAGATGATACTACATGATGGTAGAAATTCAGAACACTTTTAATTTTTTGTCGGACTCAATTAGTTTTCGAGATATAGCCTGTCAAAGTTAGTATGATGTCATATTTTCCCTTTTTTTTAGCAATGAACGATTGCAATTCACATATTTTTTTATTCAACAAATCTTGTGTAAAATTAAACACGAAATTGTTTTTGATCCATTGTTTCGAAAATAACAAAAGTAGTGCCACTTTTACAACAATAACTCACAAACTCATGAAAGTTCAACAGCTTTCTTTTGGAGGTTAGTACTATCTTTAAAAACGGTGAACATAAAGACTGGCGCCATCTGTGTGTTAGTCCCGAGACTTTCCAGCCCATGTAGTAGTATTTGTAAGCTACAAGCATGTTCACGTAGTCAGTAACCCTGATATCATTGTACTGTAACGATGTGATTTTATTCCCTTTGTTTCAAATGTTAACCCTTCAGATATAAAATCCTCAACCCTGCTGGAGTTTCCAAGGAAAGTGACCCGAAGAAATGCGGTCAAATAATTCTTGACGCATCTGGTCTGGATTCCGAACTGTATCGTCTTGGTCACACTAAGGCATGTCTGTTTGTTTATTGATGTGTTGGCTGTTATTTTTTGATTGTCGTTCTCCCTCAGACATCGGGCGACATCAATTTTTAAGAGTATCAGATGACTGTTTATGACCCGTCATTGAATATCACAAGATTGTTTGTTATGTAGCTTTTGATTAATTGATTTACTTGATTTTGCGTGAACCAGATACAAAATTCTGTCCGCAAGTGCTATTAGGGATAACATGACTCCTGAAAAAGCTGCTCAAGTAATTCTGGACCATATAAACCTTGACCCGGAACAGTATCGTTTGGGTAAAACGAAGGTATAATACAATTGAAAATTCAATTCTAGGAAATGATTATCTAATGATGAATAATCTGTATTTTTTGGAAACGCCTAATGAATTCAGCAAAATAATATTGTTTTTTTATAAAAACCAACGCGCTTTGCATGCAAAATTAATCTAAATAGAAATTATGAACGAAGGATTTGAAATATGCCAAACTAACCGATAGTGGTCTAATGAAAACTGTCAATAGTTAATACATTCTTTAGTTCACAAGCAGAATTAGAAAATAATTAGAGGGTACATTTATTGTTTCAAGAGTTTTGCCGGTTATTCATACATGTTATATGCAACTCATAAAATAGATTTGAGGTTGTTTCAAAAGTTTTGCCTGTTTATTGAAGTTCATTTGAATTTCTTTCAAAGGACAGAACACAAGCACTACAGAAAGTGGCTCTAAAAGCGCTGACTGTGCGATACTAGCGATTCACGTTGGATTTAAATCGCTGAAGCTTAAATCCATTTGGAAAAACATTCTCAGGAAGTTTATTCCACAAAAACACATCTCTCCAAATGAGAGAGTCGTTGATCGGTGAAGTTCGAGGTGTACTAGGTTGAACCGCAAAACAATGAGCAGCCACAGTCCGTCGCGTATTTCTGATATGTGACGCTCTTGGTGGAATCAAATGTGCCAAGTCACTTGAACTTGGCTGGGATTAAATCAAATAGGTGAATGGATGTCATTACGATGTCATCGATGACATTAGCAGATCAAGCTTATTCTGTGACATTAAAAATCGTAATTCATGAATGAATTCTGTGCATTTTCTATAATGTTATCCAATTTGGTACTGAAGAGCCTTAGGGCAAGTGTCTTACGGCGAAACATCGATGTATACCAGTGAGGATGACAGTGTTCCATGTAAGTGCAATTTGTTATCATTCATTTAAGTTAGAACTCATGTGAATGATATCTGATTTTATTCCACAACGAATGTTTGAAATACAAACTGAGTAGAGAAAAGTATCTTCTGTATAATTCAGTGTTCATATAGAAGTATTTGTTTCGAAAAAATTTTTCCTTTCGTATAATTCAATGTTTATATGAAAGTAGCTGTTTCAGGAGGACTTTCTTCCAGTTTGTTACTAAAAGTTACTTCTTTGCATGATCTACACATCCATGTGTAGATCATGATTATTTCCTTCCTTTCTTTGTAAAATTCCCTCATCTTTTTTTGTATCGAGATGGAGTAGTAGAAAGCCAAAAACTTTCTTTCCAAATATTCATCTTCTTGGAGAAAACCGATGCCTGGGTTTTTGTGGCATTGAAGATGTTGAATCCTTCCAAATATTCAAGGATATGGTGGTTACGTCTTTCACCATAATTGTTGATATCACTGATAGCATAGCTACTGGTCTATAGTTATTTGGAAGATTTTTCTTGCCCTTTCTGGGAAAAAGATGAACGCCAGCAATCTTCCAGCAATCTTGTAAGACAGGCTGAAAAGTCTGCAAAATTCTGGCACCAGTTCATTTACGCACTTTTTGAGTACGATGACGGGCACTTCATCAGAACCAGATGCCTCGTTGATATTGAGTTATTTTAAAATTCGCCTGACTAGACGTTGTTCAAAAGTAATTTCCGGCAATATGTATTCTAGTGTGAGAATAGTTAGTATTGCCTTCCCCAGAAAATCGACTGTGGAGTGGGACACAAATTGTTCAGCTAATAGATTTCCTTTTTTATGGCTGTCGTTGCAATTGAACCATCCGCTTGTGTAATTGGTGGACCGACCAGAAGGTTTTAGACCTTTGGGATTGACAAGCAGTTTATCCCTAATTCCCTGATTGTAAAGTTCTTTGCTTTCATTTGTTCTGAGTTTGCAGCTGTTGCAAGCATCAACAAACCTAATTAGGTTTTTAGCACAGGGGTTGGCGACAGCTTGCTCGCAATTTTCGTTGAACCAAGATTTGCCGTTAGAAGTTTGTTCTATTGAAAAAGGAATATACGCATCCATGGATGATAGAATAACTTCCGTGACTGTAATATCTCAGTAGAAACACATTCAGTTCGATCAAAATAAGCGCTATTTGCCAATGTTACACATATATATCAGTTCCATCAGCTTGAAAATTAGGTACGTTTGTGCCTGGTCCCGATTGACGAAGGTTCCACCGAAAAATATCGAAGAGAGGTCTGTGGAGTATGGTGGCTGGGGAATTACTTCGACTTCGACGATTCAATGAAACGTGCGGACGTAGTTGTTGCGCTGCAGGATCGGACCTCTTCTGTTGACCGGTGCTGGCTGCTGCTGCAGTGCATATCGTCGATTTTCTCACAATAGAACTCTGCTGTGATGGTTTGGCTCGGTTGCAGAAAGTTATAATGAATCAGACCTGTCGCTGACCACCATACAGTAACCATGACCTTTTTTGGTTGCTTTTCACCTTTGAGAAGTGCTTAGGTGGCTCATCGGAGTTCAACCACTGTCCTGAACGTCTTCTGTTGTAGAAGATCAATTTTCCATCACACATGAGGATCCGATACAAAAAAGATCGTTTCGGTTAAGCAAAAGCAAAGAAAAACCGACTTCGAAACGTCTATAAATCGTCCAAATCGTAGGGTACTGTTTGTGATGGATCAGTCTCTAACAGGGTCATCAAATCCTCGTCCCGGATAACTGTAGGTTGACCACTTCCAGGCTCATCTTTGAGGGTAAAATATCCGGAACGAAATTTCGCAAACCGACGTCGAACAGTGCATTTATTAACACCGTCATTGCTAAATACCTGACTCAATTTTTGGTCTGTTTCAGCAGAGCTCTGTTTTAATTTGCATTCGTTGAGAAAAATTGGTTGAAAAGCATATAGTAATTAGCTGAAAAGGGGCAAAAAATTAAAACACCGAAAAATATCGAAGAGAGGTCTGTGGAGTATGGTGGCTGGGGAATTACTTCGACTTCGACGATTCAATGAAACGTGCGGACGTAGTTGTTGTGCTGCAGGATCGGACCTCTTCTGTTGACCGGTGCTGGCTGCTGCTGCAGTGCATATCGTCGATTTCCTCGCAATAGAACTCTGCTGTGATGGTTTGGATCGGTTGTAGAAAGTTATAGTGAATCAGGCCTGCCGCTGACCACTATACAGTAACCATGACCTTTTTTTGGTTGCTTTTCACCTTTGAGAAGTGCTTAGGTGGCTCATCGGAGTTCAACCACTGTCCTGAACGTCTTCTGTTGTTGTAGAGGATCCACTTTCCATCACACATGACGATCCGATACAAAAAGGATCGTTTCGGTTACGTAAAAGCAAAGAAAAACCGACTTCGAAACGTCTATAAATCGTCCAAATCCTGGGGTACTGTTTGTGATGGATCAGTCTCTAACAAGGTCATCAAATCCTCGTCCTGGATAACTGTAGGTTAACCACTTCCAATCTCATCTTTGAGGGTAAAATATCCGGAACGAAATTTCGCAAACCGACGTTGAACAGTGCATTTATTAACACCGTCATTGCTAAATACCTGACTCAATTTTCGGTCGGTTTCAGCAGAGCTCTGTTTTAATTTGAATTTGTTGAGAAGAATTGGTTGAAAAGCATATAGTAATCAGCCGAAAAGGGACAAAAAATTAAAAGTTGGGAAAAATGCCCAGTATCAATGTAAAGAGTTTTAAATTTTCTATCGATCAGTACATACTACGACTTAGTGGAATGAATATTCATTGAGATATGGAGAAACACATGATATTAAAACAGACAAAACTTTTGAAACATCCTCATATGTTCAATAATTTTCAACATATCATTACGTTGGAGTAATTAGATCAATCTATCACTCATCAAACTGTATAAATTCAAGTTTCGAATGATTCTCATACTTGGCTGGCTCATACTTTTATCATCATAAGTAATGAATTGGTATAGTGGTAGTTTTCGAATATACTTTTCAAAAAAAATTGTGAGAGTGTGGCTTGTCATCATATATTCTCAAAGATCCTTCTCTCATAATGACTACGGAGAAAAGAGCCATCTGTAACTTGAAATAAATATCTAGGTATTCTTCCGTGCTGGAGTTTTGGGTCAAATGGAAGAGTTACGTGACGAACGTCTTGGAAAGATCGTAACCTGGATGCAGTCATGGGTACGTGGTTACCTTTCGAGGAAAGAATTCAAGAAGTTGCAAGAGCAACGTTTGGCCCTCCAAGTATGCCAACGCAATCTACGCAAATATCTCAAACTCCGTACATGGCCATGGTACAAGTTGTGGCAGAAAGTTAGACCCCTGCTCAATGTTACACGTATTGAAGATGAAATTGCTGTAAGTCTTGCTTTTTTCTTTAATGTGTTCAGAGTAGGAGAATATATACCTGAAAATCATCTGCATCGAATGACGGTCTTTTCCTATTTGTGAATTTATTTCTGAAATTACAATATACGGATTCATCTCGTCCGCATACTACAGCGTTTCTCAACTCAACATCCAATTATTTTTTTAAAAGGAACAACGTATTCTCAGATATCAAAGATTTGAATCAGATTTTGAATACCTCAACGCGAGCACTGACTCATTTCCTAAGAAATGTTAATTTAGTCCGTCTTTCTCGAAAAATTCCCAGCTGTTAAAACATTTGAGAGTATCTAAAATTGTAAACATCGATTTTAATAGCTTCGTATAAATTTACCTGCCCCATATTAATCTAAATATAAACTCTCCTTCCACCTTGTCATCGGGTTATGACACAACATATTTTTCTAATCTTTCATCAAATTTTTGATCCAACCTACGCTTGGTCTTATTATTGACTTCTCCGCTTTCGGGTGTTCAGTCTCAGTTTGAAAGTGGTCCTGGCTACGAGCGATAGTGAACCATCACTGTTGATTAGTATTTATTTAAATTCAAAAATTATGGTGGACACTGATCATTCCTCAGTTCTTGATAACGAAATGTTACAGAAACTTGAAGAAAAGGCTGCTAAAGCCCAAGAAGCTTTCGAGAGGGAAGAAAAAGCCAAGAAGGAGCTAGAAGCTCTGTATGCTAAGCTGTTAGCGGAAAAAACGGAGCTGTTGAGTAACTTAGAAGGAAAGGCTGGATCCCTTTCGGAAGTGCAAGAGAGAGCTAATAAACTTCAGGCCCAAAAGAATGATCTGGAAGCTCAGTTATCGGTGAGTATTACTCGATAAAAAAATAATTATCAATTGATTGACTTACTGTGAAAAATAGTTTTCTGCTTACACATATTTGCTTTGATGAAATTCGATCTGTTTTCAGTTTAGCCATTCATATAATGAGTGATATTCTTATCCGTTTCAAAAAAGTTTTCGAGGTTACTCGATTCTTTCAATAGAATCATTTCATGGTTTAGATAATTACTGATTCTCAGTGGAATCGCAGTTGAACCACAAAAACTATTTTATTCTTTAGGAAACCCAAGATCGTCTCAGCCAAGAAGAAGATGCTCGCAACCAGTTGATGCAACAGAAGAAAAAATTGGAACAGGAAATGTCTGGTTATAAGAAGGATATTGAAGATTTGGAATTGAACCTCCAGAAATCCGAACAAGATAAAGCTACCAAGGACCACCAAATAAGAAACTTGAACGACGAAATTGCTCATCAAGACGAACTCATCAACAAACTCAACAAAGAAAAGAAACTCTCCGGCGAAAACAACCAAAAAATTTCCGAGGAACTTCAAGCAGCCGAGGATAAGGTCAACCATCTCAACAAAGTGAAAGCCAAACTCGAGCAAACACTGGACGAATTGGAAGACTCTCTCGAACGCGAAAAGAAATTGCGCGGTGACGTTGAAAAATCCAAACGTAAAGTCGAGGGCGATCTTAAACTGACCCAAGAAGCTGTCGCTGATCTGGAACGCAACAAAAAAGAATTGGAACAAACCATCCAACGTAAAGACAAAGAAATCTCATCACTCACCGCCAAATTGGAAGACGAACAATCGGTTGTTGGCAAACAACAGAAACAAATCAAGGAACTTCAAGCGCGCATTGAAGAGCTCGAGGAAGAGGTTGAAGCCGAACGCCAGGCTCGTGCCAAAGCTGAAAAACAACGTGCTGACCTCGCCCGTGAATTGGAGGAACTCGGCGAACGTCTGGAAGAAGCTGGTGGTGCCACTTCAGCGCAAATCGAACTCAACAAGAAACGAGAAGCCGAACTCGCCAAACTTCGCCGAGACCTGGAAGAAGCCAATATTCAGCACGAAGGAACCCTCGCCAATTTACGTAAAAAACACAATGATGCCGTTTCTGAAATGGGTGAACAAATTGACCAGTTGAACAAACTCAAAGCTAAGTGAGTACTTGTTTTTCTTTTTTTACGCTATTTTTCCAAATCTGTTTAAAAAAATATATTTTTCCGTTAATCAGCTGTCGCCCCCATACGAACGACAACTCTCAGAAGTTGAGAAACTTGTGCGAGCTGAGGACTAACGAGGTCTTACCTTTTAACGTGTGATTCCTAACACGGTATGGGGTCTTTCATTACTCGCTTTCTATCTTTAAATTCAAATAAAACAAAGTGTGGGTGACATATCACCGAAATTTTCCATTTGCTTGAAATACCAATGATGCCACTATGTGTGGAATATGTTCAAATGTCCGCCATGGCTTCTCTGTATGGACCACATCCGAAACGTCTAATTTTTCGTGACTCTGGCACATAAATCAGGGAGAATTCGACTGATGGCATGGGTTATATCAGCTTTGAGGACCAGTGTGATTTGTGGCTTATTCACATACACCTGCGACTCAAGAAATATAATGTGGCGGCACGTATTGCTGCCCTGTTGAAACTACATGTCGTTGGTGTCCAGATCATCCAATTCAGGCCAAAATAAGTTGATAATCATCGACCTACAATGCTCGCCGTTGACATCTTCTCGGTACTAGGTCACGTACTTCTTGATTTTGTCGATACTTCTTTGATAAATGGGCACTTTCCAGATCAACTCAAAATTAGTACAGTTGATCCTGTGCCTAAAGTTCACAACGCAAATGAAGCATTTAACTTTCATTCCATAAACACTCTGCCTCCTTTAGAAAAAGTATTAGAGTTAGCTGCTTATAACCAAATATGCACATATATCGAAGACAACAACCTTTTGATGGAGTATCAATCAGGTTTTAGATCGCAACAATCATGTGAAACTGCTCTTCAACTCACCTTGTCTGAATGGAAACTGTCAATTGATGACAATAAATATGTAGTAGCAGTATTTTTGGGTTTCAAAAGAGCGTTCAAAACTATAGATATATCTATTCTGCTATCAAAATTAGAGTACTATGGAATAACTGGTATGGTGTTGCTATGGTTCAGAAGTTATTTACTCCAACAGATCTCAATGTACTAAAATAAACAACGTCCTATCAAGCCAAAAAGCAATTGATACCGGGGTCCCCCAAGGGAGTGCACTTGGCCCTGTTTCATTCATACTTTATTTGAATGACATGAATTTTATTAGTGACTGAGAATTCAACAACCTCTTTGCAGATGATACTCTCATTGCAGCAAGCGACTCTGATATTCATAATGCTGTACGCAAAATTAATTTGACTCTTGAAAACGTGGCGAAGTTCTTGAACATAAACAAACTCAAACTGAATACCACTAAAACGAAAGCTATGATATTAACAACACAATATAAATATAACTTAATTGATATCAACTCCATTAATATTGAGATCTACGGCGAAACTATAGAAATTGTGAAAGAATTCAAATACCTAGGCTTCATCGTTGATAACACTTTGAACTTAAAAAAACACTTCCAGTATATGTGTAATAAAATTTCTAAAAAATTGTTTTTCTTTACTAGAATTAGTAGACAATTAACATTCCAATCTGATTTGATTGTTTATAAAACAATAATCCTACCACACTTTGATTACTGTGCTACTTTGATATCATTAGTAGACGGTAATTCTATCTCTACTCTATAAAAATTACAAAACAGAGGAATGCCATAAATATTCTCCTACATTATCAATGAATAATATACTGAACTGGATAACAGTAAAAGATAGTTTACAATATTTTTCTATGATATTCATATTCAAAATACTCACTGGAAAAGCACCACATTACTTCAATGAGTTTATTACATATAACCATCAGATACACAAATACGATACAAGAGGAAGAGATGACTTGGTTGTCCCACGAACTAACCTTGCAAGAACAATGAATTCTATTTTTCACAGAGGACTATTGGACTAAAACAAGCTTCCTAATGAAATTAAACAAAGTAACACTCTTCAACTCTTCAACCGCTCCTTATCTCAATATCTACGGGCACAAAACTATTCCAATTGAGTTGTTCATCATTCTTCTCTCTATTAATATCTTCATCATCTACTACTGCTATGTTTTACCCAATATATTCCATTATATAGGGTCTTATATATTTCAGTTTTTTTGTAATTCAGTTTAATAACTGATATATTTGTATAATATTTATGTATATTAGGATACCTATTTCAATTAAATCAATTTCTATTAATGGCCTGGCCAACGTCATTCTCAAAGAAATATGGGCCAATGATGCCGCCAGCCCAAAATCCACACCAAACAATGACTTTTTCGCCATGCATTGGACGCTTTTGGATCATAAGTGGATTAGTATCGTCCCAAATTCGACAATTTCGTTTATTCGCGTACCTATTCATCCAGAAATGACTCTCACCGCTGAAGATGATTTTGCCAGGGGCCAGTTGCTAGTTTGTCAGTTACCAACTGCTTCCATTCAGCGAACACCCGTCGTTGTCTATGGTCGTTTACCTTTAGTTCTTGGGTCAGTTGCAGGCCCAAGTAACGACGTAAAACTCGTCGAGTTGTGGCCTGCGAACGGCTAACTGCTTCGATTTGTCCTGCACTCGCTCACAGACAGAGGCGATGTTTTCAGCAGATCTTGCGTTTCGTCGGCGTACCAGTGTGGGTCGATCATTTACTGAACAGTGGACTCAAATTTATCGACCACATTGAAATAGTTTTCTCGTTGCGACGATTATAACGACAGTAAAATGGACGAAGGGCACGGTACGTAAACCAAACAGAACACCCATTTTGAGAAAACGTGTTGCACATGTTGCTGAATGCTATTTCCGTCCATAGTGATTTTTCAAAACAGACTGAATATGACAACTGATTTGACAGATGCAGACATTATCAATTGTCAAAGTTCGGAAATGGGGTTTCTCATTACTTGATCACGAAATAAAAGCTCAACGTGTTACCCGGTAGTGCCAGTTTGACACTCAAATTCTGAACTACTTATATGACTCTTTCAATCACTTTTTGTCTTTCATTTAAAAGTTAGATTTGTTATCATATACATATCACCAATTCAAAATCAGTGACAGTATATTTCGCTCCAGAATGTAAAAAAACTGAGGAAACTGATTCAAATCCCTCTTTTGATCAACTGACTCCAGGAAAAAAATTCTGATTCAAAAATCGTAAAATTGTGAAAAGAGAAAAGAAAAAATATACTTTACAGTGTAAAGTTTTGCATGTGTAGCAGGTGTTAGGTCTATGTTCCTATTATGAATCATATTTCATCTTGACCTTTAATTATAGTTTTGATGAAACATGATTAGCTTTGTCAACGAGGTTATACTTTGAACAATGAAACATATTTGGCTTGACAAGATTAGTAAATTTCGAATTATACATTCTTTCGGAAGTCATCTAGTTATCACACTTGATATGGTCCATCGAAGCAAACATTCAAATCTCATCATCCAGGATCTGGCAAAGATTGTGAGATATAGTATTGTGGAATTAAACACTGATATAACATAGAGTTACTTATTAACAACAAAACAGAAGAAGTTATAGTAAAGTTACTATGTTTCAGCTATAACCATCTATCAGCATGGACAATAAATGAGTTTGGAATATCAGCATAAATAATAAATGAGTTTAGTCACTACCACTAGAACCCTTCTTGAGAGGAGCATGTTAAAAACTCGCTCTGGAATAACGCTTATATTTTTGAGTCTCAGCTCCCCAATATTGATTCTGGCGAATTTAAAATACTACAGAGCTTAGAGTGCTCATTGTGCAGATTTGCCAAATAATTGAAGGTAATCAGTCGATTCAAGGAACTTCCTGCCAGAAAAGTTTCCTATCACCTACTACCTATAGTTTAGGTTAAGTTAGGTCCATAATGGTCTATTCGATCCTCCACCGCAATCCGCAAGAGTTAGATAATAGTAAATAGAACCATTATCGAAGTCTTGTTGAAACGTAAAACGAATCTGATGGAAACTGAGCATCATCAGGAGATGACAGCAACGCACGTCAAGAGATTGTTTCAGTTCTGGTGTTGAAAATTGTGTTCTCATTGAACTTCAAGATCAAAACTTGAAAACTACACACATTGGCATGAATCCTAATAATTCTGAATACCCATTCAAGTAAATGAGCCAAAATGGAATTTAAAGAATGAAAATCAATAAAACATAAGTGCATCATTGAAGAGAACAAAGTCTGGGCTAGTAGGCTATGGTCTAATAGAGCCTGAGGTAGTAAACGTTTCGTCTTCCACTGCAGCAAACATCATCAGTGATGTATGTGTTGACTGCGAGGAGGAAGTTAGTATCTTGAAGGTATAGCGACAACTGACAGTCCGCCATGGCCTACTAGCCAGGATTTTGCTCTTTCATCAAGACTCCGGCCGTGAAACTCTATTTTCTCATATGATTATCAAAACTTCCGAACTTCAGTTATGAAGGAAAGTAGTCAAAAGAGATTACATGGTATGTTGTTTTCTCAGGGCTGAAAGAGATCGAGCAAATATCTATTCTGAACTTCAACAAACCCGTGGAGCTGTTGAGCAAGTGGGCAGAGAAAAGGTACATTTGTGCCTATGGTCTTTCGTACTTGTTGATTTTTCCCCCTTACCTGCATCTATCCTACATGTTTTCCAGTTGTACGTTAATGTTCGTCTTTTTCTCCAATTCACAGGTCTGAAAAAGAAAAGGCACAATACTTTGGTGAACTCAACGATCTACGGGCTTCAGTTGACCATTTAGCTAATGAGAAGGTATACATTAATCACCAAGACAGATGTGGCCTAACTGCTTTCAAAAACTCTTTTACAGCAATTCGATGTTTTACTTGAGGATCATGCCTGAGCCGCTTCGTGTGAAAATTTATATGTGTTCATGATTTGCTAACATCTTTCCTTCTAAAATCTGTGTAGTGTTCCAATAATTGTAACTATCTTGGATTAAAATTTCCATTTTGTTTAGGCTGCCATCGAGAAAGTTTCCAAACAATTAGGACAACAACTTAATGACGTACAAGGCAAGCTAGATGAAACGAATCGAACACTCAACGACTTTGATGCCGCTAAGAAAAAGTTATCGATTGAAAACTCCGATCTTCTGAGGCAATTGGAAGAAGCAGAATCGCAGGTATCACAGCTGAGCAAAATCAAGGTATCTCTCACTACCCAATTGGAAGACACCAAGAGATTGGCAGATGAAGAAGGTCGTGAACGCGCTACACTCCTTGGCAAATTCCGTAACTTGGAACATGATTTGGATAACATCCGTGAACAAGTTGAAGAAGAAGCCGAGGCTAAAGCTGATATCCAGCGTCAACTCAGCAAAGCCAACGCAGAAGCTCAATTGTGGCGTCAGAAATATGAATCTGAAGGCATTGCTCGCTCTGAAGAACTCGAAGAAGCGAAACGCAAACTTCAAGCTCGCCTTGCCGAAGCTGAAGAGACAATCGAATCTCTCAACCAGAAGGTTGTAGCTCTTGAAAAAACCAAACAACGTTTAGCTACTGAAGTTGAAGACTTGCAACTTGAAGTTGACAGAGCCAATGCCATCGCCAATGCTGCTGAGAAGAAACAGAAAGCATTCGACAAGATTATTGGAGAATGGAAACTCAAGGTTGATGATCTTGCTGCTGAACTTGATGCTAGCCAGAAAGAATGCAGGAACTATTCCACGGAATTATTCAGACTCAAAGGAGCTTACGAAGAAGGACAAGAACAACTCGAAGCAGTTCGTCGCGAGAACAAGAATCTTGCTGATGAAGTTAAGGATCTTCTTGACCAGATTGGAGAAGGTGGACGTAACATTCACGAGATCGAAAAGGCCAGAAAACGATTGGAAGCTGAGAAGGATGAACTCCAAGCAGCTCTTGAAGAGGCCGAAGCAGCCCTTGAACAAGAGGAGAACAAAGTTTTGCGTAGTCAACTTGAGCTTTCCCAGGTTAGACAAGAAATTGACAGACGCATCCAAGAGAAAGAAGAAGAATTCGAGAACACTCGTAAGAATCACCAACGTGCTCTTGATTCAATGCAGGCTTCTCTAGAAGCTGAAGCCAAGGGTAAAGCTGAGGCTCTTCGTATGAAGAAGAAGTTGGAAGCAGACATCAATGAACTTGAAATTGCTTTGGATCATGCAAATAAGGTAATTTTTTTCATAATAAAAACCTACACATTTACTAAAAATCCATTTTTCAGGCAAACGCCGAAGCACAAAAAACAATCAAACGCTACCAACAACAACTCAAAGATACTCAAACTGCTCTGGAGGAAGAACAACGCGCTCGTGATGAAGCTCGTGAACAGCTTGGAATCTCCGAAAGACGTGCCAACGCTCTTCAGAATGAACTTGAAGAATCTCGTACACTATTGGAACAAGCTGACCGTGCCCGTCGCCAAGCAGAACAAGAATTGGGAGATGCTCACGAACAATTGAATGACCTTGGTGCACAGAATGCTTCTCTGTCTGCCGCCAAGAGGAAACTGGAAACTGAACTCCAAACTCTCCATTCCGATCTTGATGAACTTCTCAATGAAGCCAAGAACTCTGAGGAGAAGGCTAAGAAAGCCATGGTTGATGCAGCTCGTCTTGCAGATGAACTGAGAGCAGAACAAGATCATGCACAAACTCAGGAGAAACTTCGTAAAGCCTTAGAATCACAAATCAAGGACCTTCAAGTTCGTCTCGACGAGGCTGAAGCTAACGCCCTCAAAGGAGGTAAGAAAGCAATCGCTAAACTTGAACAACGCGTCAGGGAATTGGAGAATGAATTAGATGGTGAACAAAGACGACACGCCGATGCTCAAAAGAATTTGAGAAAGTCCGAACGTCGCATCAAGGAGCTCAGCTTCCAAGCTGAAGAAGACCGTAAGAACCACGAAAGAATGCAAGACTTGGTCGACAAACTTCAACAGAAAATCAAGACCTACAAGAGGCAAATAGAAGAGGCAGAAGAAATAGCGGCTCTCAATTTGGCCAAATTCCGTAAAGCACAACAGGAATTGGAAGAAGCAGAAGAGCGTGCAGACCTTGCTGAACAAGCAATTGCCAAATTCCGTGCCAAGGGACGTTCTGGATCAGCAGCTAGGGGAGCCAGCCCTGCGGTAAGTTTCTATCACTAACTTTTGATTGGACCTTCAAATTTTACAGTACAATCTCGCACAGTTTCAANTGTTATTTGAACCAAAAAACGCACGGGAGAAATTGAGGAATGTAGTAGTGATAAAAATGCCGTTTTTCCGCATTTTCATTAACACCAAAAATATTGAGTAAATGTTCTTGCTTTTTTTATAACTATTCAATACAACAAATTAGGTATCATTGGAAAGAGAATGTTGTGGCCTTTCAAATCATATATCACTCGACCCCAATTTCCATTTAAAATTTCAGGGTTGTTACCCACCCTCGCTAGGGGGTTGAAGGCACAGGTAAAAAAATACATCTAAAATGTGTCCCCCTCGAAAGCAAAATTGACCTGTCCGAGCATGTTTGCGTTAAGTTACAAAAAAAAGAGAAAAGCAAGGTGCATACTTTTCGTTGGACCACTCGATATAAAAACACTGTGAACTCAAATTGAATATTGTTGTCGGAGATTAGAAGATTCATTCACTGACACTAAGTGGAACATATTCCTGTCTAAGAAAAAACGCAGTTTTAAAAAGCTAACGTTGGTATCAATACATTACTTAATTATATTGCAAAATTCAATACAGATATAATCAAGTCTCGAGTATGATTCATATATATTTTTCTTGGGTAGTTCCAAATTTCAAATAAACAAGGTTCGTCGAAATCTGATATTCAGGACGAGAGTCTCTCATTTGTTGAATAATTTTGGAGGAGTAGATAGTCGGAAAGCTCTGTCTTGAAAACTAAAATCTTGAAATATATCCTTCTCAACTCAATTGAACAATAGTTTTCATATTCAAAAAATTCAATTAAGAGGTCCCAGTCAGTTTTGAAATGAAGTGGATTAAAAAATATCAAAACACTAGCGTTGTTTGAATGATCATACTTGAATACGGGAAATAAGTAGACAGGTATTCATCATATTAATAAGTTGCCCAATTTGTGAACAGGTGGCTTTTGATAATGAAAAAAAAAACGGTTTTGAGTAAAACTTTCTGGTGTTCAATACAAAAAAAAAATAAGTTATGTTACAATATCGAAAACAAGACATCACTCCCTCTATATCACCCGTTTTTTTTTAAAGAATGCATAGACGTAGCTTACAGCTACAGCAACAGCTAAATAGAGAGACCATTTCCACATTCGCAAACCACCTTTTAGCAGAAGGGCATAATTTCAATCATGAATACGTGTTACATTTAGAAGAGGAAAGTTTGAAACTCAATCTTCTAGAATGATTATAAATCAATAGATTCGAAAATTCGTTTAATTTACTGAAATACTGGCACCTAAAATTGTAAAATTGACTAGCGAATGTGTTAAAAAATCACTTATCAAATTACGTAGCCCGCGAAATTTGAAAATTCACCTCAGTGTTTAAGTAGACCTCCAATAAACATTTTTTTTTGTTTTTAAAAATTGCCGTGTCAATTCGCCACCTTAAACAAAACCTAATTCATTTCTTCATTCAACGGAATGATTTCAACATTTCCGCATGTTCTTAGCATCTACAAGGATTTTTCAATAACAATTAATTTTCATTCAAGCAACCGAAGCAAGCGGTTCAACGTTTACCAATCGCATTGGAATAACAACAGTAGCGAAATTGTAAGTCTCATTGATGAGTTTGTTTGTCGAACGAATCACAGATCATATTTCGAGACATTATGATGTTTGTTGTGATCATGTATCTGTCCCTTGTTATATTTGCATACTACCTGTGTTGTACCACCAAGATGATTGACATCAAGGCGTTTACCAGAGTTCAAATATCATAGTTTCCCTTTGTTTTTCTCTCACTGACAGTTTCCTCTATTTCCAGCCTCAGCGACAGCGTCCCACATTCGGAATGGGAGATTCACTTGGAGGTGCCTTCCCTCCAAGGTTCGATCTTGCACCCGACTTTGAATGAATCTGACATTGTGTTATAAGTGTAAGGTGAACATTCTATCGCAGTGTAAATATCATCCCAATGCGAATCAATTCTACATTCAGTTTAAATCATTCTATCTCTCAAAATATAATAGTTGTTCAATTCCATTCTTCACTAATTCAAATCAAAGACAAAGAGAATGAAGGGATTCAGAGACACGTATTCAACATCTACAGCAAACCCTTCAGTCTCGGCATCTCTGAATTAAATATTTTTCAAATTATCGAAAGATATTGAATGATAATCGTGTGTATGATATGTTGTATGATATAAGGCACCTATGAATAAAGAGTTATATCCTTTGCATTGTATTCATTCATATTGTGAAATTATCCTTCTAATGTATGCATGTACTTTTTGTTGTTCATTGTTGATAATTTTGTTACGAAGAGGATGATTATTATTGATTTGATGAATAAAGCAATAATTTCTAAGTCTTTGTTTTATTTGTTTGAAGGTGACTGACAATGTTTCATGATGGATTTCATTAGTTCGGACTTCTATTGTCTGATAATATATAAAATGATTTCAAATCTCTGAAAAAACGAATAAAAAAGATGAATTGAAAATTAATAGCTGAAAATAACAATAATAAGCAAAAAAAACCTGAAATGAAATGATAGTGAAATAAAATACAAGTAAAAATAGAACAATTGAACATAAAATTAAAATAAAATAAATTTCAAGCCAAGTTACTTCACGACATTTCGATTGTTAATATCCACAATCGTCTTCGGGTGATGACTAGACTAGACCGGTTTCGAGCTGTTTGGCATTGAATTTCCTCCTAAACCAATGTTCCTCCCTGTGTATAATCTCAGCTCCAGACCACTCGATGTTATGTTGATGAGTCCAAATATGCTCTGCTTTTCCTGATTTGCTTGTTTCCCCTCGCTGCGTGTGTTTCTTGAGCTTGGCAATGCGAACATTTAATGGCCTCTTAGTTTCACCAATATAGGATTTTCCGCACTCACAGGGTATCCGGTAAATGCAATTCTTGGAATCGCAGTCCGCGTTTAGTGGCCTGGTTTTCGTGAGGCTGCTACGGATAGTGTTTCGGGATCTGAAGCAGGTTCTGATGTTGTAGTTGGATACGATTCTGCTTATCCTTTCCGATAATTCTCTGATGTAGGGAAGTGCAAGCAGTGGTTGTGAGGGCTTCTCTTCCTTGTGAGGCTCCCGCTGTCTTTTAGACAAAGTCTGTTCCACCTTCGCTTTGGAGTAGCCATTCAGTTAAAGATCATTTTTGATGACTTTTCACGTATAGTCAAAGGGCATACTTGAAGACTGGCTGTAAATCAAATCATCTAAAAGAACAATTCGTTCAGGTCAGTCTCAACAACCTACACAGTAGGTTAATGGACTGACACCTATCAGAAAACAACTACTCCCCTGGCTAATACCACGAAGGGCGTTGGATTATATCCGACAGGTGTCAGTGCAGGATTCTTCACTAAAGTTATTCCTGCCGCAATAGATTTTTAATTATTGGAACACACTTGCAGACCGGTTTCGAGCTCTTTGGCCACTCGTCAGTGCAAGGTAGTGTATATCATCAACATAAAGTCGATGATTTCCGATAATTGAAAATCGAATTCCTTCAGAGTATCATTCCCCGAACTAAGCTTAAGCGGACAACAAACAACAGGTTTGTCATCGCCCCGTCTGCCTGTGAACGAGGATATACCAGAGGATATAATCCAACGCCCTGCGTGGTATTAGCCAGGGGAGTAATTGTTTTCTGATAGGTGTCAGTCCATTAACCTACTGTGTAGGAAGTTGAGACTGGCCTGAACAAAATGTTCTCTTAGATGATTTGATTTTTGATGATGTCCAGTTCCTTCTCGAAACCTTCCTTCGTATTACAGAGCCCGAAAACACGGTCTAATAGAGGCTTGATGATTCCTCTTCGAGTCGATTGATGTTGGTTGGAGTTGTGGTGTTACAGTAAAATTTCTCTTAGAGTGGTTGTCTGTCTGTTTCGCATATTCGATAAATTCTATCAAGGTCATTGTTCTGCAAAGTTCGCAATCACCGACAATTAACTGCAAAATTAGGTGAAATATTCTCATGAGTGGGACAAAGAAGTTCAACAATGATATTAAATATTTTCATTCGTGAGCGCCTAGACCCTTTCCAACATTTTAAAATGTGAATCAGTAGTAAGAGATTTCAGGCAGGAGCACAGTGTGTTTATTTAGTGAATGTGAAAATACGAGTTTTGGATTATTTTTCATTACTAATTATCCACGATTGGGGATTGAATTGCCGTGTTCCATTTTTTTAACAACTAGTACTGTGAGCTTAGTTGTTATTACCTCTTTTAAAGGGAATACAAAGTTGAAATCAGACTCTAAGGCCACCCTTCATCAAAGGTATGGATGAAATAGTTGATAAAGTATTCTAGAGTTATACTGTTCTCTCTATCATCTAGACCTTTTTCGTTTTATGCCGTTGGATAACGTAATAAAGGAATTTCTGAAATTCGAAAGCCTGACAGGTCCACTACTTACTGGAAGTTAGGGGAGTACAGTTTCAACTTCCCAGGTTGCAGCCAAAAAGGGAGGAAAGCTAACGAATCGGATGAGTACCACCATTATTTCTTTGATTATTGCATTTTTCTTCTGACACCCAATTTCGTCACCAGCTAAATTATTTGTAATTATTTTCAAGCTAACTTGTTTAACTTCATGAATAAATTAGACTTGTTTCAATCCCTTGTACGTACAGGGCTAGTAGGTATTACTATATTAGAAAGTGAGTTTTGTAAAATCACGTAATATAGACGTTCTCTCTCTCTCTCTCCAAAGAAAAGGTTGCATTAATTGAACGACTTAGGAAATACGAACCACCCGTCTCCACTGAGCTAACCAATGCTCTACCCTACCTCAAATACTGGCTTTCGGTAGAGCACTATAAAATTTTGATACGGTTTCACCCTTCAGAGTAACAACTGATAAAACTCTTACACAGTATATAAAGACTCCTTCTGAG